CTCTCATTTCTCTGCTGCAGCCAATGGGGTAATTAAGCAACAAAATTATTTGTTTGACGTAGCTAAATTGGCGCGGTGGAGATTCTTTAGAAATGTTTTTAAAGAGGAAAAAATGATAATAAACTAAACAATATATTAAAAGCTATGTAAAATTTAGGAAATTGGAAAACATTTTTGAAAGTAAAACTGAATTATTTTAAAGCTGAAAGATTTTAAACTTAAAAATGTTTACTTTTTAACATCCATTAATGTAGTAACCCTCACCTTTTTGCATATTCAAATGGCCCAAATTACATGTATGATTACATTAAATCTTAATTAAATCTTCTAGTTTCTGAAATTATAAATGAAAAAAGTGTGACTAAACACAGCCTAAACTGCAGCAGTTAAAACATGACAGTTTTTCTTCTTGAAAAATCGAAAAGTCTTTTTTGATTATCAGTAACAACCATCACTGTACTCACACTTATGTGGCATATGACCAAAACTACTTTGGAGTACACAACACTTCAGGACCCCTAACAACAATCAAACCCCCCAGGTGACCTCCATGGCCAATTCAGGATGAGGGATCAGAAGCCCGTAATTCCTTGTTACACTAACAGTATATTGATCTCGGTGCTCCCACCACTAGCTACAACTAAGGAAGTCTCTTGGATGAGAGGCCAAACATCTTCTAGAAAACTTCACATCGAGTTCCCTAAACTAAACTTTTCAAGCTCCAACATTACAAAGAGCAAATCACACGAATAGTAACACTTCACCAACAAAATGACTATTGAGCAGCTAATCAATTATGATTTATAGAATATTAATGATAATATTTAATATTTAATTTTGTCAAAGAGAGGAAAACACCCTTTGAGAAGAACATCCAGCAAAACTAAGCGCTCTGCTGAGGCTGACTGGGGTTCAAGAAGAGACAGAAAAAGACACACAGAAGGAATAGAGGCACTGATCCATAAATATCTTCTATGTTAGAGAATGTAACAGTAAACAAGCTTTATAGTCGGTGCTGTCTAGGATAGAAACGGTTAAGCAGATGAGCTTTGAGCCAGTTTTCATGTCAAAGATAGGAATAAAAAAAGCACATTCAGTTGTTCACAGTAAAAGAGTCCATTGTCCATAGTCTATGAGAGAAATAGGACTAAACACTGACCTTTTTAGCTAATTTAGTTCAAAAAACAGATTGTTTTGTTGATGCTGAACAAGCCTAAAGCATCATTCATTTTCATTTCTACTGAAACTAAAGTGAAAATTTCTCTTTCCTCCAAAAGAGGAAAGGGAGTTTTCCTGTCCAATCAAAGTGAAACTAAAGAAAAAAATGAGATACAAAATGCAGTGCTTTGAAAAAGGCGAGGCAGGCTTAAGAAAGCAAGAGTTTTACTGTTTTACATGCGTCTAAAAATGAAGACAGGAAGTCATTATATATGATGCATAAAAACAGCTAATTCTACTTTGAGATTTACTGCTAAATATCTTCTGCTAGTTAGCTAACCAGCAACCAATCACAGCTTTAGGATGTGTTGTTTCCAAGCATATGGAGAGGGGTTGGGTTTAAGCCCGGCAAAAAATAAAACTCTCCACTATTGATTCAAGCAGGATTTGTTGCAAACGATGAATCATATTTTCCAAAACTGATCCTGAGCTGAGAGGTCAGGAAGACAGCGGAAATGTTGACAGATTAAAGCTGTACTACTGGCCAGGGATTCATTTCCATCAAGGATAAAGACCAACTAGTTACCATGATAGTCATCATGGATAATATGTAATGATATTTTGAAAGTTTAACAGCCTAGCCACCATCGGTCCTCATGACTTTCATGTTTTGTGTCCTCAGTGTGCGTTTACTCTTCAATAATGCGTTGGTGTTCTTGTATCAGCCTCTGGTTCTCCTCCATCAGTTTCCTGTTGTGCTCCTGTAGTGTGTTTCCTCGCTGCAAAGTGTGGATCAGCACCTCTGTCACTGCTTCAGCTGGCTTTTTGACTGGATCCAGCAAGACAGAACCCAGTTTGAACTGTGGGAGACCAAAAAAAAGAAAGAAAGAAAAGCCATTTTGTTTTATTCAATTGGAAAATTAAATGTCCGTGTAAATCCTACTATCCAGGTCACTTCAAGATGTTTTCGATGCTAAGGGCTGTAGACAGAATTTGTTTCCCTGAACATTTCTTATTTTTTACCTGAATTAGCATTTGTATTAACTTCCTAGTAGATTTTCATTTTATTTCTTTAGGAGTGGCGGCCTAGTGGTTAGAGCATAGAGCACAAATGTCAAAGTCAAGGCCCACAAATTGTTTATCAATGGCCCCCTGGGTGGTATTT